CCTCTGGTCTCTTGACCATACTCTGGATTTTGGGTCTGGAAAAGAGCAGGCACAATCCATATATCAGGTTGTTCTATAAAATGCACATGGATTTTAACCCTTCACTAGGTCTATCATTAGCTGTTAGCTCAGATAGTCAGGGATGCAACCCTCATGCTCCAAGTGTCCCTAAACCTCTGACTTCCAGAAGCTGGGACTGGACAACAGGGGATGGATAACTCAATATTGCTGTGTTCTGAAGCATCTGGCATTGGCCATTGTCAGAAGCCAGGATATTGGGCTAGATAGACCATTGGTTTGACCCAGTGTGGCAATTATGTTCTTTACATCAAGCCGTCAGTTGCCAAACATCCAAGACAGCCAACCAGCTCTAGAATGTTTGCTTTTTCTATCGGGTGTTAGTTTTTTAGCATTGTCTTCAACATTTAGAAAAACTTATTTACATAGCATCAACCATGTGCTGGATTGTCAGAAATGACCTGTTCCCTGTCTAAGCAAGCAGTGAGTAGGCACAAGGTACAAAGGATATGATACTATAAATATGATACTATAAAAATAAGAAGACTGAGCTATAGGGTTGGATGTTCTTAGTTTCATATAGTGTCGTCTATATTTTCATGGGGATAAAATCTCCTGAAGGGAGGAGTAGAGTGTTTACTCTTCTCCACTGTTCTTCAGAATTGGTCTCTTCCATTTGGACCTTTTTTTTGCCCATTGCAATTTGTTGCTTTTAATGTTATAGTGATGAATGCTGGTTTGCAACAATGAAGCATCCAGATGCAGGGGCTGCAGGTTTGTAGAAATTTTGGTGGTGCCCAGAACCTGCCTCCCCAAACTCCGCCACCCACCTGCCTAAGGCTCTGGGAGGGTATTTGGGTGCTGGGTGCAGGCTCTGAGCTGCGGCAGGGGGTGGGGGTGCAGGAAGGGGTGAGGGGTGTAGGCCCTAGGAGGGAGTTTGGGTGTAGGCTCTGGGAGGGAGCCCAGAGGGCTGGGGTGCAGGCTCTGGGAAGGAGTTTGGGGCAGGAGAGGGTGTGTGGGAAGGGGGTGGGGGTGCGAGCTCTGGGATGGAGTTTGGGTGCTGGATGCAGGCTCCGGGCTAGGGCAGGGGGTGGGTGTGCAGGAGGGGCTAAGAGGTGCAGGCTCTGGGAGGGAGTTCGGGGATTGGAGGGGGTGCGGAGGGAAGGGGTGCAGGCTCTGGAATGGAGTTTGGGTTCTGTCTGTGTGCAGGCTGGGGCAGGGGCTGGGGGTACAGGAGGGGATGAGGGGTGCAAGCTCTGGGCTGGGGGTGGCGGTGCAGGCTCTGGGAGGGAGTTTGGGGGTGTGGAGGGAGGGGGTGCAGGCTCTGGGAGGGAGTTTGGGTGCCGGAAGGGGGGTATGGGAAAGGTGTGGGGATGCAGGCTGTGGGAGGGAGTTTGGGGAAGGAGGGGGTGCGAAGAGAGGGGGGCCAGGCTCTGGGAGGGGGGGCTGGGGGAGTGCGGCGCTTACCTGGGGCTCCTAGGCAGGGCGAGTTGGGGGTCTCCATGTGCTGCTACCCCCAGGCACTGTCCCCGCAGCTTCCCATTGTCCGCAGGGGCACTTGGGGTGGGACACAGACCAGGGAGGGGCCGGCAGCCATGTGAAGTGAGCAGTCAGGAAGCTGCTCAGTTCCGCTGCGCTGCCAGTGGTGAGTGTGGGCCCTGGGCTGTTTTAAATGAACCAGGGGGATGTGGCGGGGGGGGGGGAGAGGGGCGCTCGGGGGCGGAAGGCGGGGCTGAGAGAGAGACCTGGCATCAGACAGTGCTGGAGCCGGGGCCATGGTGCCTGGGCACCAGGAATTATAGCTGAATTATAGCTGAAACAGGGTTATGAGCTTTAGAACAGAGCTGAAGTTTCATCTGCTTGGAAGCATACTGAAATTTTAAAGGATCTTTTTCAAACTTTTCTGTTCATCAGCCCTGCATTGGGTGTTTACCTGAGTAGTCAACTACAGATTTTCATTTGTACATGAGGGGATTTCTCCCACACTGTAATTCCTCCCCAACCCTTCCTTAAAGACTCCACAGAAGGTCAACTAATCTTCCCTTCAAGTGGCGTATGTTTCAGGGCCTTTAGATACAGCTTTGGGACATTTATTCATGGAAACTGCAAAGCAACTTGCTGCCTTCACAGTGCTGTCATTATTGGCTAGTTTTTGGAGAGTTTAGCACCTAAAATTAACCATGAGGGTAATCCAGAAAGTCACTAACTTTTTAAAACTGTCTTCCAGACCACTGATAATAGGACACAGAACATTTCACCAGGGCCAGATTAACTTTTTGTGGGCTCGGCGCCAAACATATTTGTGGGCTCCCCTGGGGAATAATTGTAAAAGGGGCCGGGGTTAAAAGCACAGTGGGGCAGGAGCTAGGGTTGGTCTCTGGAGCAAGGGAGAGGTCAGGGGTAAACTGTAAGCGCAGCAGGGCTGGGGAGGGAGTAAACAGGATCCCCCCCGCCCCTGCCCACATAGAGCGGGTATCTACCTGGTTCTAGCCCATTCTCTTCGTCTCTCTCTGCACTGAGCTGCCCCTCCTCCCACAGCAGCAGGACAGGTTCTCTTTCAGCCCTCTGGGGTCGGTGTTGGGAGTGGGAGGAGCAGAGGCTAATGTGGTTATTGCCAGTGGTGAGCTGGATCCAGTTTGCACTGGTTCGCAGGAACCGGTTGTTAAATTTAGAAGCCCTTTTAGAACCGTTTGTTCCGGGACAACCGGTTCTAAAAGGGCTTTATTTAACAAAAGCTCCAGCAGCTGTCCACCCCGCCCCAGCTCACTTCCCCCTCCTCCCCTGAATGCTCCGCCTCCCTTCTCCTCCCCCTCCCCTGTTTCCCGCGAATCAGATGTTCGCGGGAAGCCTGAAACAAGCAGCAGGCACACAGGTAAGCTAGAGCGCTGGGGGAGGAGAGGTGCGGCTCCCTCCGGCCCGACTCCTGGTCCCAGCCGAGCGGCTCCCTCCGGCCTGGAACCCCCGGCCGAGCGCCCCCAGCCCGGTCCCAGCCGAGCGCCCCCAGTTCCAGCCCCGCGGCTCCCTCCGGCCCGGCTCCTGGTCCCGGCCGAGTGCCCCCAGTCCCGGCCCCGGCCGAGCGCCCCCAGCTCCGGCCTGTCCTGGCTCCAGCCGAGTGCCCCCGGCTCAGGCCCCACGGCTCCCTCCGGCCCGGCTCCTGGTCCTGGCCGAGCGCCCCCAGCCCCAGGCCCGGCCCCGGCTGAGCATCCCCAGCCCCGGGCCCGGCCCGGCCCCAGCCGAGCGCCCCCAGCCCCGTCCCGTCCCCAGTGACTGTCCAATTTGGCCAATGTACATGCAGAGGGGCATTGCTGGCACATGATGGCATATATAACATTGGTGGACGTGCAGGTGAATGAACCGGTGATGTTGTAGCTGATCTGGTTAGATGCTGTGATGGTGTCGCTGGTGTAGATATGTGGGCAGAGTTGACATCGAGATTTGTTGCATGGATTGGTTCCTGAGTTAGAGTTGTTATGGTGCGGTGTGTGGTTGCTGGTGAGAATATGCTTAAGGTTGGCGGGTTGTCTGTGGGCACATGCCGTCATGTGCCAGCAATGCCCCTCTGCTATGTACATTGGCCAAACTGGACAGTCACTATGTAAAAGGATAAATGGACTCAAGTCAGATACCAGGAATGGCAATATACAAAAACCTGTAGGAGAACACTCCCTGGCCACACAATAGCAGATGTAAAGGTAGCCATCTTACAGCAAAAAAACTTCAGGACCAGACTCCAAAGAGAAACTGCTGAGCTCCAGTTCATTTGCAAATTTGACACCATCAGATCAGGATTAAACAAAGACTGTGAATGGCTATCCAACTACAGAAGCAGTTTCTTCTTCCTTGGTGTTCACACCTCAACTGCTAGCAGAGCACCTCACCCTCCCTGATTGAACTAACCTCGTTATCTCCATACTGATTCTTGCCTGCATATTTATACCTGCCTCTGAAAATTTCCATTACATGCGTCTGTCGAAGTGGGTATTCACCCATGAAAGCTTATGCTCCAATACTTCTGTTAGTCTTAAAGGTGCCACAGGACTCTCTGTTGCTTATTATATACCTGGGGTTTGGCAAATGCCTGTTAAATGGCTTCATTACCCCTTGAATGGCTCTTTAACAGTTTCAGTGTTGTGCTAATAGGTCTGGCAGGTTGGAGACTTTTTCACTTTTAACTACTAGATCCCCTCCCGAGGAAGACTCACCAGGCTGCAGCAGCCAGCAGTGGGAGCCTGCAGGAAGGGTCAGAACAGGGATAGGAAAGATGGGGGGTGGACACTAAGACCCAGTGGTGCCCCAAATGTTCAGGTGCCCTACACAGCTGCCTGTGTTGCCTATGCCTAAGGACAGCCTTGGTTGGGATGCACAGGGGTGCAGGGTGCAGCAGGGAGCTCAGGGCAAAGGGTTAGGGTGCAGGAGGGGTGCGAGGTGCAGGCAGGGGGCTTGGGGCAGGGTGCAGGAGGGGTTCGAGCTCCGGCCTGGCACCACTCTCCTAAAGCAGCTCTGGGGTGGCAGTGGCGCGCACCGGGGCCAGGGCAGGCTCCCTGCATGCATGCATGCCCTGGCCCCGGCCCTGCGCCGCTTCAGGAAGTGCGGCCCGTGGGGGAGGGGAGACGGAGGGCTCTGCGTGCGCTGCCCTTGCCACGCCTCCAGGTACCTCCTCCAAAGCTCCCATTGGCCAGGGTTCCCCATTCCTGGCCAATGGGAGCTGCGGGAGGCGGTGCCTGGCGGCAAGGGCAACTCACGTGGAGCCTTCTGCCCGCCCACCTGGGGGCTGCTTCTGAGAGCGGTGCTGGGCCCGCGGTGCCACAGGGAGCAATCCCGCGGGCCGGATTTAAAGCCCTAGGGGCCGGATCCAGCCTGCGGGCCATAGTTTGCCCACCCCGACCTACACTATCCAACAACAAAGCACAGTTTTTATGGTTTTATATCTGACAAGACATTGGTCACTTGTAATGTTAATAGCCCATCTTCTTCCTTTGCAGCACTTGGATCACAACACTGTCTCGGCGTTAAATTGGATAAAAGAGACCGGTGACCAACAGTCGTCGTCGCCAACAACTAAAACTACCCAAAAGCACTACTGTGATTATGAACATCAAACTTTGTCCAAAAGAGAACAAGCTGAAGAGGAATCCTTATTTGCAGCTATACAGTGGCCAAATCCCCCTGTAGGCAAAATCCCATTTATAAGAAGCACTGATCCTGCCCACAGCAATTTTGTGATTGTGAATTCCCATGTGCGCTTCAAGGTGGGAGATCAGTTAGAGGTGTCTGTCCACATGAAGGATTTTCAAGGCAAACCAAAACAGTATGGTGGAGACTACATACAGGCGAGAATTCACTCTCCTCTACTGAAAGCTGGAGCAACGGGAAGGGTTGTAGATGATCAGAACGGGTTTTACAAAATCTTTTTCACTCTACTTTGGCCAGGGGAGGTCAGAGTATCTGTGTCTCTGGTCCACCCTAGTGAAGGGATACAAGTCCTGCAGCGCTTACGGGAAGAAAGGCCAGACAGAGTCTACTTTAAAAGCTTATTCAGGTCTGGTAGTACTTCAGAAACCACTGTATGCAATGTGTGTTTGCCTGGAGATCTTCCTGTCTGTAACTTCACAGACCTCTACACTGGTGAGCCATGGTTCTGCTACAAGCCGAGAAAACTGTCCTGTGCCAGCAGAATCAACCATGCCAAGGGAGGATATCAAAAGAGCCTTCTGACACCTTCTGAGAGTCTCTTTTTCCAAACGTATGTATGTTCGTAAATATATGCATAAGCGCGCACACTATTTTTTTTAATGGTCCTTACTTAAGTTATATCTGTGTCTTTATGTTGACAAGAGATCAAGCAACAAGTTAGTTGTAATGTTGATGAAAGGTGCTGGATTGACGTTCCTGGAGATCGAAATCTTCTCTTTATTTGCAGAAACACATACCGCTTAAGCAGTAGCAGCAAAAGTTTTCCCCACGCTGCCCAGCCCACATGCTTCAGTCTTAAACTGAAGAAACTAGGAGAGAGGTAGTTGAGTCTCTGTGCCCTGAAATCAGTACTAGGCTTGTCTGCTGACACTGGAGTGTTACTGCCACCTGTGGTGGTGGTTGGTTTTATTTTTTGTGTGTGTGATTGCGCCATTTATTTCAGTTTGTTCATAACTCTAAATATGCATTTAGTACATATCTTACACAAGAATATAGATGATCAGTGTTATTAGTTTTCATATGATACCTCACAAAGCATATTTTGTACAAAAATTATTACAGTAGTGGGTGACTACATGGGTGGTTTCAGTCACAGTAATTTTTCCTTAGAAAATCAGCATGTTATTGCTAAATTGATTGCCTGTTCTGCTCTTCACTCCTTCTCAATCACCATGGGCTGAAATGACAGAAAATGGGTGCATGACAGCCTTCAATTATGGATTATTCCTGTAGTAGAACTGGAGGTCACTGTGTAGCATCTATGGCTCTGTCTTCCCAATACAAGAATGTGTGGGTCTCAGCCAGGAAAAGCCCATCATGGCTTAAGGACTCCATGGAATCTATGCGGTAGCTCCCCTAGTGTCTTGTACAGACATCCGATTGCTACAAGTGATGTACCCTGCTGGCTTTGTGCAAGTAAAAATAGGGTTATAAAGTAAAATCTAATATCCTAGGACTACCAAAATGTTAAATCTTTGGCTAAGTGGGATTAAGAGAGTTGTCTCAAGAAGATTAATACTTATTGATTGGAGTGCTAGAAAGTAGAGTGCGCCTTAAAAATAAAAAATGTATCACATATGCAGTGTGTGCACATGAGTTAGGAGAAACTGATGCTAAAAATGAACTTGAAATATCCAGCATTGCTTTATTACATTTATATTTTTCTTATTGTTCTTCAAGTGATGTGAATATCAAAGTGCCAATACTTCCCAGTGGCCCCGATTCAGTGACTGTAGAACCCTTAGGATTTACAGGTAAAGTGGTTTTTTGTTTGTTTGTTTGTTTTTAATATTATTGTTTTGTAAATCATAGTGAAAACAATAGAAAGGGAAACAGGCATGATTAAATAATACTGGAGACTATTTTCCCAGCTATTTGGCAAAAATATAGTTTTTAAATTTATTCATTGAATACAATTAGATGGTAAAGCTCTTTTTAAAAAAACTATTTATTTAGGAAGTATTAACAGGTTTATAAATTCTTGCCATATAAATGTAGAAACTCAACAACCATTACAACAGTGAGCTTTTGTTTAAAGAGGCGTTGTCTAGGAACAGAGTCATCAGTTGATCGTACACTCTTCTCTCACAAACTGTCTCTTACTAGGGTTTGTTCCTTCTGGGGGAATTCTGCACCACTGTGCATGTGCATATTTAATGTACCGTGCATATTTTCATTTCCCCCCGCCCCCGAAAATAGTTTCTGCCAGTAAGTTGCTGCCGTTCTGCTTTTGCCCACCAGAGGGCGCTGTGGTGCTAGAACAGAGCAGCCACTCTCTGGCCAGCTAGGGAAAAGAGAGAGCCTGCAGTGCCTTCTTCACAGCACCTGTTGGGCCAGATCAGGAGATGGGGGATATGGAGACAGACAGCGTGGAGCTGCTGGGGGTCACGGACAGAGGCTCATAAGGTCTAATGGGGGAGGACAGACTGGGGCACCTCCTGTGGGGCTGAAGCCCCAAGACCTCCCTTCCTGCGGGCAGAAGCTCCCCCAAACAGGCTGGTAGGCAGAGAATGGGGAAGTTGGGGGGACAGAGGGCTCGGCGAGCTGCACTATAACTGTAAAAGAGCTGCATGCGGCTCATGAGCCACAGTTTGGCCACCCCGAAATACGTCCCTGCACAGCTCCCATTGACTTCAGTTGCAAATACTCAGACTCAGGGTCTCAAGCTGGGCACTAGAAAATGAGGAACACACAGTTAGTGACCATCTGTGAAAAATTTGGTTTAGGTGATATGATGAGCATCAAATTGGACCTTTGTGGCAAAGGCAGGATTAGAAGCCTCCAGGGCAGGGATAAAACTGACTCAATCATGAGACCATCCTTCTCTTCCTGCAATTCCTTGCTTCATTCGCTGTGCATCTTCCAACTTCTGCAATGAATGAAGGAAATGTCACGCTGTCTGGAGTGGCTCACGACTGTGAGTGCCAACCTCAGGGCAGACTGTCAAGAGGCAGGGCAAAACCCCCAGTCTGGTTGTATGTTCTATAATTAGATTTTGCCAACCCATTAACAAGTATGAACTCCTAAAGCAGTATAACAGTCTTACCATGGTGTCACAGACAGTCCCCTTGGGCATTCCAGTCTATCTTGGCACCCAGGCAAGCTGGAATTTTGTGATAGATGGTCGCTTACACTAAAAATCAAATCAGTAATCTGATTACTCCTAGTCCCAAAGAACCAGTCGTTTACCCCAGCTCAGCTGTATTTAGATTGCAAACCAAGGACAGCACTTGTAGCCACCCCTGTAATAAATTCACTAAAGGCTTATTACTAGGGAAAATCATATGAGAGTTATTTACAAGATTCAAGTAGATTAACTCATTTGTCTGTGTGTAAGTTTATCTTAGATTTCAAAAGATAATAGAAACTTCTCTAATAAGTAACTCTGTGTCCTTTTGGGCTAACCCAAGTTAAACAGTTGGGGACTCCTTGCTTATGCTTAGAAATCCTCACCCTCAGAGTTCAAGTAGCATAGGAATAACAATTTCTCCTTAACAGGCATTTTTATTTCCTTCCTCCAGCATTCAAACTGTGATGGGATGTGGGCTTGTGCATGTACCCTCTTCAGGGGTGTGGGGAAGCAATCTACAAAGTCTTTTGTCCACAATGGTTTGTCTGATGTCTGTAGACCACCTTTTGTCAGGGAGAAGATAACATCTCTTGTGGTGAACTAGCATTTCAAACTTGGTAATGCTTCTCCTTGGACTAATTTTCCAATCTGAGGCTATGTCTACACTATGCAGCTTTTAGTGACATGGCTGTGCCGCTACAGCCGTGCCGCTAAAAGGTGCGCAGTATAGCTGCTGTTTGTCGGCAGGAGAGCGCTCTCCTGACAACAACAAAAATTCCACCCCCAATGAGCAGCAGCAGCTTTGATGGCAGGAGAGCGCTCTTGCTGACAAAGCGCTCTTCACACCGGCGCTGTTTGTGAGTAACACTTTTGTTGTTTGGGGGTGTGTTTAACACCCCGAACAACAAAAGTTTTGCCGACGAAGTTCCAGTGTAGACAAAGCCTTAGCAAACATTTTTATGGTTATAGAGCCAACATTTAAATGTTACTTTATAACGTGCAGATATTGCAATTAATTGTAATACATGCAGCATCCTACAAGGATTCCATGAAGTCTAAACACATTCTTATAACTCTATCTATTTTAATAACACTCACACACAGGTAAGCCAGATTGGTTTCCAGATATATGTTTGTCAGTATTCAATGAGGCCTAGGGGCCTAGATATGAGCTGGCACCTGGTCTGCCAGCATCATACAGGGATCCTACAGACAACATCTTCCTTCACTACACAACCTTTATTCATCTGGAAGTATAGTTCATCTTGTGTGCTGACTCAGGCAGGGGTCCTGTGGAAAGAATACTATGTGATCATGTAATTAAAGACTGCAACGTAATATATACGCACATAAGGGCTGAATTAAGGTTGCCCTTGCAACTTTAATGTTAGTATTTCCTAACTTTTGAGTGCTTGACTTCACAACTTTAATGTTGTTTTAACAGTTTTTATATGTAACTTCCTAGTTTTTTGGAAAAAGCAAACTGAAAAAACAGTACTATCATGTGGCATAATATTGACACCCTCTTGGGTCTTCAGGTTTGGAACCTTATGTCCACTTCACAAGTGACCTCTGCCACTTAAACTAATGGAGTAACTGACAGCAATATTAGGTTGTCATCCTTTATATGGGCCAGCCACAAAGGTGCTTTGGGGCGAAAGGCAATTGGAATGAATTTGTGATCCAATCTGAGACCTCATGTACCAGGTTGCAGCACCTCTCAAATTTGGTGCGGGTGGGACAGTAATCTGGGCCCCCTCTTTAGCTGTGACCCTGCCAGCCAGTAATGGGGGATGAGAGAGAGAATTTGCCCAGTGGGTTTCACAGGTGTTTGCTGACAGCGGAGAAATGGTGAGACGGGGAATCTTCTGTTCCATTCCACTCTGGAGGGGAGTGTGCTGTAGTGGGCCCAGACCTTTCTGCCCTTGTTCCCCCCTCCAACCTTGACCCTGTTTGCTCCTGTTCCCTTCAGTCTCTCCTTCCCCATCCCAGCAGCTCCTTGTCCCAGTCTCCCCATCCATTTTGTATTTGAGTTAGGCTGCTTCCTTCTCTGTGCTAACTGGGAGCCAGCAGGGGGACCTCTGAGAACACAGGAGAGACAGGTTCCCTGCCCTCGGTTCTGGTGCTTGGTACCACAGCAACACACGACAGCTGGGAGGAGCAATTGCAGCTCCATCCCTACAGCGCCAGGATGGGGCTTGCTCAGCGAGGAATGGTATCTTGGGAGAATGTAGCTGCCAAACTCAAACAAGTCTCTACTGCACATGTGCAAATTTGAGATTTTTCAAAGGCTTATAACTTGGCCAGTTTTGTCCTGATAATTTTTAATGGCACATCTCTGACAAAGGTAACCCCCCTCATCCAGATTTCAGTTCCTTTCTCTAAAGCATGGAGATTCTAGAGCCTATCAACTAAATGGTTGTAAGATTTTTTTCTTTTTTTAAACCTGGGGGAAACTATATATTCTTCCCTAATCTTGGTCTCAGAAACAGCTGAACCATTTTTGCTGAAATATATAAAAAAAAATCCAGCCTCAGGCAGACAGCTTGCATGGGACATTTCATCCTGAACCGTTAAAGGATGGCAAAGTTACAAGCAACTTACGATGGGGTCTTATAATGTGAAGTATGCTTAAGTAACCTTAACTGTAGTTGAAGCTGGTAGAGATGCCTATATCTGTCTTTTGTTGCAGAAGGAGGTAAAAAAAAGTGTTAGATTGGGGTGTTTGCTTTGTCATGCTACTTGCATTAGGATAAGGGTTGATGCTTTTGCTCGGTTGGATATACTTCCATGAAAATTACAGAGATTATTTTTGTAATTGTGTATTAATCTGGAATAATTTTCCTCTTCCAGAATCAGCCAATCTGGACAGATCTCAGGGCCCAGCTGTTTTCCCTTTGGGTTACTATTACCATGACAAGTGGAGGCCAAGAACAAGTTGGATCCGACATTTTAACAAGACAGCTGATATTAGTGAATGCTTACAAGGAAAAGTAGTCCACTTCTTTGGTGATTCTACAATAAGACAGTGGTTTGAATATCTGACCACATTTGTTCCAGGTAATTTATTTTTTTGCTTTGTGCAGATTGCTTTCAAAAAGTCTTTACGTCTCTTACTCCATAGTGATTTTATATCCTAATATCAAAATAATGGAAGAAATAAAGAAGGATGGATGGCAAATGGATTTTCAATAAATAGCCATTGACAGGAAGAGTCACCCAAATTCCTTAGTAAAGATTGGAAATATATGGGGGCAAATCCCAGTGAACAAATATATATGCAATACACCCTCAAAACTGGCACCGTGGAGTGTGTTCTGCTTACGTCAATCAAGACCTTTCTATTATTTTGAGATAAGTGAGCATGTTAATATACAACCGCCAGGGCGCATGATGTAGTTTATATAAGACATGTTTCAGAGTAGTAGCCGTGTTAGTCTGTATCCGCAAAAAGAACAGGAGTACTTGTGGCACCTTAGAGACTAACAAATTTATTTGAGCATAAGCTTTTGTGGGCTACAGCCCACTTCATCAGATGCATAGAATGGAACATCTAGTAAGAAATATATATACGTATACATGGTAGCAATTGCAATGTCCCAGTAATACAGAGATGGGCAAACTACAGCCTGTGGACTGGATCCTGCCTGGTCCCTGAGCTCCTGGCCAGAGAGGCTAGCTCCTGGCTCCTTCCCTGCTGCCTCCCCTCTCCCCCGCAGAGCTACACCCCCACACGGGCAGTGCTCTGGGCGCGGCAGCCAGACATGTTGCTCTGCATGCTCTGCTCGGCATGGTAAGTGGGCTGGAGCCAGGGGGTTGTATAAGGGGCAGGGGACCCGGGGGGGGGGCAGTCAGGGCGCAGGGGGCGGTTGAATGCGGGGGAGGTTCTGGGGCGGGGGGCAGTCAGGGGACGGGGAACGGGGAGGTTGGATAGGCGGAGGGTTCCAGGGGGCCTGTCAGGGGGCGGGGCGGTGGTGTGGATGGGGTTGGGGCAGTCAGGGGAAAGGGTTGGATAGGGGGTGGGGCCCCCAGGGGGCAGTTAGGGACAGGGGGTCCCAGGAAGGGATAGTTAGGAGACAAGGGTTGGATGGGTCGGGGATTCTGAGGGGGGCAGTCAGGGGGTGGGAAGTAGGAACGGGGCGGATAGGGGGCGGGGGCCAGGCTGTTTGGGGAGGCACAGCCTTCCCTACCCGGCCCTCCATCCAGTTTTGCAACCCCAGTGTGGCCCTCAGGCCAAAAAGTTTGCCCACCCCTGCAGTAATGTAACTTTTTCGATTATTGTTGGTCAGTGTTGGACTCTTTCTTTTTTCATTTCACTCAGAATTTTGACCGTCCTTATTAGATGGCATAATTTAGTAGCCAGTAATTGAATTAACCATCATAACTGCATAAAGGAATCAATTTTATTTAGATAAAGGGTGAAAATCATTTTAATACAGTTGACTTAGCTTCTGAAGTGCTAATTAAATTAAATGGAGGTTAAAAGGTGTCAGAGAAGGCTTTCTGCTGGCACTTTATGCGGTGGGGTATTTATGATGGAAAGAATCTGCTCAGAAAATCCCTTTATTTATAAGGTGGTGGTGGGGAAAATAATTTATCTGAAGTTAATCAAAGATTTTGCTTTTTGCATTTCAGCTTTAGAGAGATGCCAATCTTAGTGGGTATATGTTTCAGTGCTCAGGTAGCAAACATTGGAGTTTTTTAACTGCATTTAGTATTCTATTCAAACACTCTTTTCTAGAAGAACTTTCATACTGTCCAAATGATTTATGGATAGTAAAAGATGGCAGGAGAGGAAATCTTTATACTTCTTGTGTTTCAGATCTAGTGGAATTTAACCTTGGGAGTCCTAAAAACGTAGGTCCTTTTATGTCCGTGGACCTGAAGCACAATGTCCTGCTGAAGTTCCGCTGTCATGGGCCACCCATTCGCTTTACCACTGTCTTCAGTAGCGAGCTACGCTACATTGCCAATGAGCTAAATGGCATTGTAGGCGGAAGAAACACTGTGATAGCCATAACCATATGGTCCCACTTCAGCACCTTCCCTGTGGAGGTGTACATCCGAAGACTGAGGAACATTCGCAGGTCCATCGTTCTACTGCTGGATCGCAGCCCCAAAACTCTGGTGGTCATCAGAACAGCCAATGTTCAGGAGCTTGGGCCAGAAGTGAGTCTCTTCAACAGTGACTGGTATTCCTTTCAGCTTGACACAATCATGAGGAAGATGTTCTCAGGAATTGCTGTGTTCTTTGTGGATGCCTGGGAGATGTCTCTGGCCCATTACTTGCCACACAACTTGCATCCACAGGACGTCATTATTAAGAATCAGATAGATGCATTCCTGTCTTTTGTTTGTCCTTTAGAAACTTAGCACAATCAGTGGAGAGGAGCCTCATGACATATATATCGTGTTTTGCTGTAGCATAACCAAATCATTCTCTGTCAGAGCTATAAAATGAAACTACAGGCAAACTGTATGGTTACTGTTCCCACATGTGATCTCAGTTGCTTGGCCATGGAGACAGATGACTATGAGTGGCAGTAAGTTGGAATGGACTAATTCTGACCACTTTTATATCTTCCTGTAGGGATGGTTCCTCTTGACCTTGTAATTTGTCTCAGATTACTAGGGTGCTCCTTAAATCAAAACTACAAGACTCACTACAGAAGTACTTAAATAATTAGCTTTATTAATTGTCTGCACTGCATGAATATTCATACAGCACTGATTCAGTTCCCAAAGTCCTTTCTCACCATCCAGAGTACTGTGTGAAACCTGGGAAGGATTGTTTGGGAACAGCCTTTCTTTGGTTGTTCCAAAGTTGTTTTGGGTATCTAGAACAACCAAATATGTTTCATATTGTGCTTCTTTGATTGAAGTAACCTGGGGATACCTTTTCCAAAGTCCTAATCAGGAATCTAAAGGGGATGTCCTAAAGCCACTGGATCAGTCCAGGAAGCACAACCTAAAAAGCTTGCAGAATTATCAGAATATCTATTGGATGTGTCGGCATTGATACAGCATATTAATCAACCATCCACAATGTTTACAGAATGGCTTCTAAATAATACAAATAGCCAGCACCAGTAGTAGGTAGTTTCTTCAGCAGCAGCAGCAACATTGCAATAACTCATTGGAAGTTTGATATTAAAATGTTTGTTTTCCCCTCTTGTCATGTGCTCACTCTGTTTTACTATTTCATAGCTTCTTATGAGACCTGGGTTTCTGTTTATATTAAAGTATATATTTGTTTTGAGGGGGAGGAACACACAGAATTACATGGACTTCACAAACAGATAAGGTGGGGGAGAGAGTCAAATGTTGAGCCTATAATTCTTGACAGTGTCACTATAAATTCTTGCTCTGTCTGATCTTTGTTCTTCCACTTTTATGTTGGGCATTCTTTGCACCATTTTCGTAGCTGCCAAATCTGCCAGCTATATAGGGTACAAAATACCTTCAGTGTTGCCCTGTGTACAGATACTTGGTAAATCCCTCCTGAATTTCCAGTGTTACAGCTGACAATTTATTGCTGAGTGGCACTTTTAGAGAAGGGGTTAATAGATTTGCACATTGTGCTTCCTGTTTTGACCGGACCTGGTTACAGTGTAAGTCCCACTTTGATTTATTGGCTTGATGAAGTTCAAATCCCAGATTAAACACTAGCAATGAGATCTTCAGAACTCTGCTCCCATTGAAACCAATGGAAATTCTACCATTGACTTCAGTGGGAACAGAGCATTGCCATCTTTCTCTTTCTGTAGTCCTTCTCTGCCACAGTCTTGCTCCCCTGTCGCTGTGCATCAGGTGTGAGCAGAGTCCTAAATGGCATGTCCCCATCAGTGCATGTGCAACATGTCTGCAATGAGAGCATGCCCATGAATATACTGGAACGAGTCACACACGCAGCTGTGTTCTACTTGCTCCTCATCAAAAACCATAGAAAGGTAGGAGAAGATTCAGCTTTAGAGTTTGAGATGTGAAACTAGGTTGGCACTCATTGGCCTCTAAACCCTATAAATCAGATTAAATTCACCTGGCTGCCAGCATCAGATTTATGGCAGCATGGCGAGGTAGGAAGCTATGCTAGCAGTGCTGTGGGAACCTCTCTGGCAGAGGTTGTGTGTTATCTGTGATCTGTAGGGATTTTGTTGCCTTTATTTATGGTAGTACAATGTTGTCAAGGCTGAATCCAACTGTCTCTGAGGGTGCCAGTCCTCCTTGAGCCCACCAGAAAGAGTCTCCTTGTATAAGAGTCCTCCTCCTATAACAAATCTGGACCTGTTAGAAGAGCTGAGATGCGGTGGGTCGCTCCGTGCTTCCGTCCAAGCTCCCTCTCTCATCCGCTTTCTGCCCTGCCTGGAACTGTTCCCTTGATGCTGGAGACATTAGTTCTTCACTGGGTTGTGGACTTGGGCTTGGTCCCACTGGAAACGATGCAGGTGATGGGGTTGTTTCCATTGACTCTGAACCGCTCTCCGCTGGTGCACTACCGGTAGGTGGTATTTCAGGCTCCGGTTGAGCCTCTTGCACCGGTTTAGCTGCTGCTGCTGGTGCAGGCTCTGTGGCGTCCTTTGATGCTGGCTCCCTTGTCTCTGGTGGGGTTGCAAGCACGGGCTCTGGTCCTGACTGCTTCACCAGTTCCAATCCTTGGGCTGGTTCTGGCTGGGTCCTAGGAACTGGATCTACAACTTCTGCCATAGACTCTGGTTTGGGTTCTGGTTCCACCACCTCTGGCTGAATTCCTGTAGGAGGCTCAGGAATGGAGGTAGGTGTGGAGGCCTGTTTAGCCTGGCTGCGGGTGACCATCCCCACCCTTTTTGTAGCCTCACATGGTTGGCTAAGTCTTCTCCCAGCAGCATGGGAATGGGATAATCGTCATAGACTGCAAAAGTCCATATCCCTGACCAGCCCTTGTACTCGACAGGCAACTTGGCTGTAGGCAAGGTAAGAATTGGCCTTAAAGGGTTGCAGGGCTCTGGGGGCTATTTAAAGGGCCTGGGGTGTCCCTGCTTCTACCGCCCCGGTCCTTTAAATAGCCGCCGGAGCCCGGAGGT